TTTTGGGGATTAGGAGTTTGAGGATCGTTGGGGATTCAGGGATTGGGGAGATTGGGGAAGGGGAGGGTAATTGGGCCTCCGGTAACCTCACTCACACGACGAAACACAACGCAAGCGTTGCTTCACGTCGGTTTTCTGGGAGGACGTGGTATCACTCCGGTCGAGCCGGCCCATTCGTGCCGAAGCATGGCTCTCCCACACTTAAACTAATTTTAATAATTTTTATTTTATTCATAGATATAACAACATCTAAATACATCAAGCTCCGTCTCCTGAACTAGGCGTTGCCTGTATATCAGGGGCCAGTACTTTCCAGTTACATTTTTGATAGTATTTAGATGGCAATGACATTGTTGGGTTTGAGCTGTCCCGGAGCCGTGCTTGTTAGGTGTGCGGATGACCTTAAACCTTTAGGCCGGTTATAGTGTCGCGCTGACCGCACGATGACCGTCGGCGCTGATAGGCATAGGAACTTCTAGAAACCGTGCGCGCTGATAGCTACACGTCATTCAAAAACACTACCTATAAGTTCATATACATTTCGGCTGTCAGCGCTGACGGTCAGCTTCCGATAACACTAAAACCAGCCTTACAGAGTCCTAGGCAAGCACCTCATAGACGCCCCTAATTTTTTTTGGCGCCACTGTCTCTCTAGCTCTATAGGCAGTTAGGCACGTACGTCTCGCGGCGCCATAGGCACTTGCCTAGGTTGCCTTACCAATAATACGTTACGTCTGTTTACATCTATTACTTTTAGAGTAATTTTAAAATTGGTCAGATTGTACAAAATATTATCCACATTGTTATTCCACGAGAGAAATCCATACTTTTTGTATATATTTCGTGTGTATGTGTATCTGTGTATCTAAATGTTATCCTATTTATTCTAAAAAGGATGCAAAATACTATAAGCAATAATGCTTTTGATGATTATACAAAGGCGTATTATATGAGCTGAATAAGACACATTTTTGCTGAGTTACAACTTAATACGAATAATGTATTAGTAAAATTGTGAACTTAGAATGATAAACTTACAAACTATTTATTTATTTATTTATTTATTTATTTTATGTTAATACGGTTTACACCAGTTACATTAACATATACAGATATCAAAACAAACATCGTATGTAGCTACAAATCACATGGCAAAATAAAGATATAAAAGAAAAAATAAAGCACATCACAATAATAAAATATAAATTAAAAAACACAATAAACAGTAATAGAGGTAACAGTATTAAACATTTTCACAAAAACTTAAACATAAACGCTGAACAGTTTTAAAGTCATTAATAAATAGCTCACAGTCGGGGTAGGTTTCCAAGAGGCCATTGAGCGCGGACAAGACGCGGGGAATAGGGGACGATGCACGGGCCACTGTGCGGCATGCGGGCACAGACAGTGGGCGGTGCCGACGAGCACGGAGGTAGTTAGTCGGAGCATGTAATCGCATCAGTTCATTATGAAGGTCAGGAGCATCTATGATACCTCTGCAGATTTTAAGCATAATGTACAGTTGTCCAAACGCTCTTCTGGTCTCCAGCATATTGTATCCCAGACATCCACACAAGTATTTTGTTGGGTACATGTATGGATAGTAGCCTAGAGAGGATTTGTAAAGGAATCTTAAGAATTTCTTCTGAACTTTTTCAAGTAGTAGAGAATAGGAGGCCTCGTGTGGATTCCAAATGCAGGAGCTCGCCTCCAACTTGCTCCTGACCAGCGTGCTGTAAAGGAGTCTTATGACGTGCGTATTCTTGAAATCTCGTGAGTTTCTCAGAACGAAACCAAGTCTCTTAAACGATTCCTTAGCAACCGTTGCAATATGATCGTGAAATGTCAGCTTCTGGTCAAATACGACGCCCAGGTCTCTCATAGTTGACGATCTAGATATAGAAGAGCCGTTTATTTTATAGTCGAAGGTAATGGGGTGTCGCTTTCGACCAAAAGTCATGACATAGCACTTAGAGGGATTGAATTCCATTTTATTTGCATTTCCCCAATCATTCACCAGGTCGATGTCCCTTTGAATAGCCTCACAGTCCGATATACTGTTGACGCAAGCGTAGAGTTTTAGGTCATCAGCATACAAAAGACATTCTGCATGTTGAGGAACCTCCGGGAGATCATTGATCATTAAAAGAAACAGCAAAGGACCGAGAATTGAGCCCTGACTTACGCCTGAACGAGTGTGGTACGTGTTGGACTCGTAAATGCCCAACCTCACGTACTGCTGGCGGTCACGAAGGTAATCGGCCAATAGACGCAGAAGGTTAGGGCATACACCTATGGAGTTAAGTTTCGCGAGCAAGATATCATTGTTGATGCGGTCAAATGCCTTCCGAAAGTCAAAATATAGGACGTCCACCTGCTGCCCTCTGTCAAGTTGTGATGAGATATACTCCGTTAAAGTTAATAAGTTAGATTCGACAGATCTCCTACGTCTAAAACCATGTTGAGCATTACTTAAGTATTTCTCAACTTGTGCGTATATAAGTTTATGGAGCACATTTTCGAAAACTTTAGCGGATGATGATAGAATAGCAATTGGCCGGTATTCCTCTACAGCTGTTTTGTTAGACGTTTTAGGTATTGGGGTTACACGTGACACTTTCCATTGAAGAGGATAACAACCAGTTTTTAGTGATAAGTTAAATATATGGCAAAGTGGAGAGACAAATGAGTCCTTAAGATTTTTAAGAATCGTGGCTGGTATACCATCCGGACCTACAGAATTACTGACTTTTAGTTTATTCAACCCATCTAACACATCCTTACGAGAAAACCGAAGAATGTTGATATAATTACTGTTTTTTGTAACGTCGGCGTTGTTGGTATTGGTGGCGTCTAATAGTGGTATATCCGGCAGAAACATATATACAAATATATTTACTATATACAAATATATTTAATTTAAGTACTTATCAATACTTATACTTAGATGTACTATTTTTAACTACAAACACTAATCACACGATATCAATTCCTTATGTTAATTCATAAAACAAATACATATTAACAATGTAACATAGTGACATGGGTGAAATAACTAATCACATAACACCTTCTATCCCCGAAAGGGTAAGCAGAGGTGCACATTACGGCACTTAATGCCACTGTACAATGTAACACCCACTTTTAACTATTTATGTTATGAGTCCCATGTAACAGGGGGTGAGCCTAACACACTAATATTATAAATGTTTCTTTGTTTAAATGTTTGTCAGTCAATCAAGCTGAAACTACTGGACTGACTTAGATGTTAGGATACTTTTTATCCCGATTAAATGCTCCCATGAGAAAAATCAGGAATACACGGGCAAAGCCTCGGGTAAAAGCTAGTTTAATAATAAATTAGTTGTGTAAGTATTGTTTGTAGAAAAACTACACAAGACAATGCCTGAACCAAATGAAGAATTTTACTAATGATCGTTCCTAAATCCATCTGTGTAACTATTAATCGCAATGAATAATACTTTTAGCGTAACCGCCATTAGCTATTCGATTTTTTCTCGAAAATCAGGTCTCATAAATTATTTTTTGCCTTTCAAAATCTTTTAGTTGACCTTGATTTTTTTTCAAAATCTATAATACTTGTATTTCTAGTCAAATAGAATTTTAATTTATATTATTATCATTATAAAAAAAATTACACCAGACAGACTAATTTAATTTAAATGTTATAATTTTTAAAACTGGCAATAATAATTTAATATCAACTTTGATGAGAAAAACAACGAACTACTGAAAGAGACTCGTTTCCTTAAAATGTAAGCTAAGTACATCAGAAAATTAAAAATCTAATTAGTCCGTAAGTTAGGTAATTAAAAAATATTACAAGTATTTTTTTATTTTGTCGTATAATAAAATAATACTTAAACAAAAGGAATCAACAACAAAGACAAAACGTCTTTAGAAATGACGTTTAGTAACATTATAGCCCCCACTCCTAAACTTTATTACTATATACGTAGAACGTATAAAATGTACATAGAAGTGACGTCACGCGACATTTCAAATCAATATATTACCGAAAGTATTCGTTTCTGTAAGAAAATAAAAAATACGTGTGTAATGTTTTAAAATAATCTACCAGATGGACATTAAAATAAAAATTAGGCATCTAATAATAGGGTATTATAAATAACTAATATAACGGTAATATTAAATATTATATTAATGCCCGAATACTGAAAGACTACTAAATTTTAAGTTGTACTTAAATATCGTGCCGTCTCTGTCAGTTTACAAAGAGTTTGTAGAGACAGTACTATACTTCAGCGCGACTTAAATTGAGTGTCGTTTGTGTATTTGGACATCATTTAAGTAACAAAAGTAGTTCTTAAATGCATTAACTACTTATTGAAGCTTTTTAATTATCAAATGACCTTGACCTTAGATCGTTTAAGCCTGTTATTTTATTTTATTTTCAGCTATGATCGTCCCACTGCAGGGCAAAGGCCTCCCTACCCTCCTTCCACTCCTCTCTATGTAAAGGTTTTTACGGCCAATCCATGTCATACATATCCAATTCGTCCCGCCATCTCCTTTTGGCCTATCATTATAGCTTAAAACTAAAATTATTCTGTATTGTATGGATCGTTAACCTTTGATTTTAGCTATTGTAGTTATTTCTAAGATTATTAATTATAATAAGTTCATTGCAACATGATAACACTTATAATGTAATTCCTTTCTTTATAGGTATCTACTGATATATTGTTATAAAGGTGTGTTAAAATAAAATACATTAATTTAAAAAAAAAACTTGGAATCCAGACGCTAATGATTCCATGATTTACTCGATTAATATACATAAATAGGTATTCTTGCCATTTAAAAAAATATGTCATAGAAATTCGTGTTTCTATGACATATTTTTTTGTGTAGCTACAACTACAACTACAGCTACAACTAATACATATTAGTTTATCGACTATGAGAACATTTTTATCAAGCAAAATTGTGGATTGTAATTTTTAAGAAGCAAAATTGTGGATTGTAGGCGTACCTATCAGGTTCTTTTTAATTTTTTACACTAACCATAAGCATACGTTTTTATACATTTTATCATACCAAAAATCAGGAAAGTAAGTTTTCCTTATCTTTTACGGAATCTCTAATTTTGGTTCCTTGTAGTTTTAGGCGTATAAAATTTTGATTACTACTTATGTTCACATGAATACTTTCTTCAACTACTATGTTTACCGGTGTTAGTGTGTCGCGCATTGCTACTCATGAATATGAGCCCTAACGTGGTTTGAAATTAGTCGAGATCCTCATTATAGTTCGTGAATAAACCGGTATATATATATAGTTGATTTTAGTATCTCTTACGAAAACTATAATACAATACTGTTTACAATTCCTAAATGCTAGAAATAAATGAGACAACAGTACTGGAAGGGCTGACGATACCTTCACTTGTGTCTGGGTTGACCTGCTTGGCTGACTGTCAGCCGAGCGCGTGAGTCAGTCCATTGTTCAGCAAAGCGGTCTGACTGTCACTGTGCAAGTCTGCCATTGGTACAGTATCGTTCTTGCGCTTGCGTTCTGAACTGTGCCACGCGCCATATGTAATGTAGATTAGGAGACCTGGAAATAACAGAAAAAAATAAATTAATAAGTGATTTTGTAATACTTAAACTGATTTTCAAAAGGAATTATAGGGCAAAAGGACATCTTATCGCTAAAAGGTAATATATCTATTAGAAATTAGACAATCTTTTAAAAAGTAAACTTGAAATGTCAACTATAAGTATCAAAATGTTGGGCGTCGGGGATCGCGAGACCATCTCCAACCACCGTAAGCACGGGCCTGCGGGCAGCGAGCACTGGTGACTCGCCGCCCGACCAGAACCAGACTCGAGCGTACGATGCGTCGCATTCCGCGCACATCTCAAAGACCTATCAGACCACCACGGGTGGGGTCCAATAGGACTGATGCCAAAACGGAGAAGCGTGTGACTTAACGGGTTGCCGGGGCTCCGGCTCGAAGTGCAGGAGTAGGAAAGAGGTGGTTTTTAGTCAGTAATAGTCGTGACATTCCCTCACGCCTCACGCGGGCGGGAAAAGTCATTAGGTGATTTTCTTCCATAATAAAAAGTATCAATTCAATTAATTTTCATTAGTTTCGATTTGTAATTTGTAAATGGCATCTGGTATACAGTTCTAGTCTAGCGAAACACTATTTAAAGCCTCGACTTGATCACTTCAACTATGTCACCTTTTACTGGTCAGACAAGTTACTTTAACATAATAACATAGGCAGTTCATCTTTAATTATTACTCTTGTTACTCTCCGAAGGTTTTCTAGTTCCACCACCTTGAACTGGCAACTTAAACTTTACGCAAATTATTATTTAACTATAAGTACATTACCTATTAGAAACAGCAGGTTGTTCATACCAAAATTCTATAATAGCCAGTAATCAGCCAAGAATCTAATTTACGTTTTTTATAAACATGTATATTAAGTACATTTTAAGCATAACGAATACCTACTTTACATATTTTTAAGATCATTTCAAAAACGCATCCTGTATCATAAGGAAATTGCATCGTAATAGAAAAGCAATCAAAATATTTACATTTAACCATTAAAATCTATACAAAAACGGATATACCATATAAATGACATATAATCGAATCAATTCATATATACATAAAACAACTCGGGAAGATGAAATAATTATTAAAATTAAATAATAAGAAAAAATAATACGTTAATTGCTATATATATAATATATACATGTAGAAAAAACCATAAAACGTCTATAAAATTGTATACGGAAATACTAGTTTCCGTATATTGGATTATATTTTTTTTGCTCAGACGTTTTGACGTGTTCGATGACTAGATTAAAAAATGATTAAGTGTTCACTAAGCTAGTTCTTTGTTGCGTTGGACGGGGTAATTTGTAATACACTTGGGAGCTTAGGAACGGAAACACTAGCGTTTTACCCTGTATAACTTTGTAATATATAAAATGTTTCTTTTGCTTTGCTTTCATTTTGTTGTAAAATACTGCCTCGTTGGCCGAGTGGACGCATGTGCGACTGCCGGGCAAGGGGTTTCGGGTTCGATTCCCGGGTCGGGCTAAGTATTACTGGGTTTTAAAAAAAATCTCAGTAGTAGCACGGAGTCTGGAATTGTGCCCGGTATATGGCAATAGGCTCACCCCCTATTACATGGGACTCATAACATAATTAGTAAAAAGTGGGTGTTATATTGTACAGTGGCATAATGTGCACCTCTGCTTTACCCCTTTGGGAATAAAAGGCGTGATGTTATGTATGGATGTTATGCTCTCATATTAGGCCGACCATAAGACACGTATACGATACGTTAGCAATTAATACTTGTATCAAGAAATTAAAAAACGCTCGTGGCTCCATTTCTTTCCTCTCAAGTGTAATATTAATGGGTTAATTTGGAGTTTCATATTCAATATGACAAAAATATTTGACGAACAAACAGAACAACAGTTTTACGGTCGCTTAGAATAAAAATAAAACTATATTAACTTGTCTACCATAACAGTATTTAGCAGTGTTACTAACAACGAGTTCAGCTGTAACTTTATAGCAATTACCTAATTACTATAACGTAATAACACTAATATAGTATACATTTTACTGTATTATCGTGTTTCAACAAGGCTCTTGAAGTGACAGCTAGATATATTTTTTTTTATACCACGACGGTGGCAAAAAAGCACACGGCCCACCTGATGGTAAGGGGTTACTGTGGCTTATGTACGCCTGCAACACTTGGGGCATTACATGCGTCTTGCCGACCCTTAAAAAACCTATTCACCGCCCTCTTGAAGAACCTCATGTTGTAACCTCATATCCTAATGGTTTATAATACGAAGGTAATAATTCAATCATTCCTTTTAACAAAACTGAGTTCAACTCCCTGTTTTGTTAATTAATATGTATACTAAAGCCTTCTCCTATGTATACCAAACGCTTTTCTGAAAACCGAATCCAAATCGGTTCAACCAATCGTGGCATAGTCGCACACAAACATAAATACAAACATATATACAAACAATTTCTGTAATAAAAATAAATAAATAAATAAATAAACATACATACATACAGATCACACTCAGGACCTTCTTTTTTCTTTTTAAGCCTTTGACTGCCAATAGAAAACTGATGACGGCAAATCCTCCACTAACGTCAGTCATTGGTGACGCCCACGGCGTTTAATGTGTTAAAGTCAGTTAAAAATGAGACTGTTTGTCTATTATCTTAAACTGAAAAACATGGAATACTTTAAGTTCCGGGAAATATCTTTTTTCCTCTTCAAGGGGCGTGAATCAGAGATAAAACGTTTTTGGAACACTTTTTTAGGATTATCTTAATTAATCAGCATAATTTTGGAAACAGGCAATGAAATATGAAAGGCCAGAGAAAATTCCCGAAGAAATCGCGGTTCAATGTTAGCAACTTGATAAATTGTTACAGCCGACCTACATTATAATACAATTTATACGACCTGTAATATAATTTATTCTGAAAGTGGTGAAAGTCAAAATTTTACTAAATGTCACATGTCCTTAGCCATGAGGACAGTGGAGTGTGGCCTCACTGATTGGGAATTTGATTGCGTCGCAAAAATTTGATCAAGAAGGGCAAAGTAGTCGTTTTACTCGGACCAAATACTTCCTAAATCAAAGTTATAAACTTAACTTAGGCTTTATATTGGCACTCATTCAGAGCAAAGGTTCACCAACCATTTGTTGTTTTAACTAATATTACAGGAAAATTTGAGAAAATGTCCTGTATCGCATTTATTAAAAACCTGTTTCTACGCCTTCTAAGAAAAATAGTTCATGTGTTAATATTAAAACGAACAAATTAACTAAGCACTAAAAATATATATTTTTTTAGACCTGATAAACCTGAATTCTTTTTATGCGTATGATCATGTAAACACGAGGAAACGATATCACGTGAATGAAACGACACCGGACCAGTTTTTTTTTAAATTAATTAACATAATTATATCACATCACAATCATAATTATTCTAATTTATTTTATTCGCGATATTTATTATTTTTTTACAACCGCGTAGGTCTAGTAGACGCAAGGGCAACTGTTTAGCTCGAGGTTCTGGGTTTTCTCAAATAGTGAGTAACATATTTTAATTTTATTAGCTATCAATTTCCTAGTTTTGAAATTCTAGGTATTTGACAGATTTTATCATGTGTCTGGCAATGGGCTGCCTTCCTGTTAATTGACGCAAGGAGGTGAGCTATGAAAAAAGGTTGATATAAAACAGAGATCTATCATTCAAAATATAACTGCCGTCAAACGGGTTAACCCTCAGATTCCTATTCCTAAGCACACAGTGACGGCTTTTAAAATTATTACTGCGAGTTAAAAAATAGTACTTCCAGTGACTGAGTCCAAGTAAACGAACAAGCGATCATATTGCTTTATAATAGGTATAAAACGATATTATTATGCATAGACTAATAAAAAATATTAATACTAATTATTTATATACGTTTCACAGGTTTCACAAATATTTTTACAGTGCACTTCACAAAATTTAAATATTTTTTGCAGTTAAAAGCTATTAAAAACAAGTCTATAAAAATTACTTTAAAATATTCCATTAAATATGCAGATATTTGATAAGAATTAAACTGTCAAATACCAAGCGGTCACCGGTGACCGCAACCTATTGTTCTATAATTGTGTCTACAAAACCGGTACTCGACGAGTTAATATTCATTAAAATTAATTACATATTAACATAAAATAAAATTATTGCGATTTTGCAGTCTTTGTCTTATACTCATTTATTTTAGTGGCAAGTCGAAACTGCGCTAAAAATAATAGTTACCTAATAACCTAAATGTATTCAAGCACTACACTATAATGTTCTACATTAAACATATAAATGTATATACATATCTACATTAAACACATATATATATATTATACCATATATAGGTACTCGCCCGTGACCTTTCTACTGCATCAACATTGCAAATTTTTGTTCTTCTCAGTTCAGTAACATTGTAATAAGATCCAAACTGCTAAATAAATATCCAATTAACATAGAGGTTCATCAGGAACAGAATCTTCCTCCAAAAAAAAAAACAAAACCAGCTCAAAAAATATTTCAGACAAAAGATAAAAATACCATATCGATCAAACGAGATTCTACATGTCTTATCAAATACATCGATATAGAAGAAGTAACTTTTATCTATCGGTTTAAAAAAATAGGTCTCCGTATATAAGCCGGCAAGCACAAGAGCTCGCCTTTATTTCACACGGACAAAGCAGACGTGACGCAACTCCTATAACTTAAAATGAACAAAATTCTCATAAGACTAGTGATTGTTTCGGCCATTGGGGTTTTGAGTCAAACCTCACGAAATGATATCCCAGAAGATGCCACGATGACCTTCAGTGAGCTAGCTGACAAGTACGGGCACAAAGCTGAAGAACATGACGTCATCTCTGGGGGCGGGTATATCCTGACGCTGTTCCATATCCCTGGAGATAAACATCGGCCGATACTTCTCATACACGGCGCCATCGACTCCGCCGACAGCTACATCATGAGGGGCAACACGTCACTGGCCATCGCGTTAGCAAGGGACAAATACGACGTGTGGGTCATGAATTACCGCGGCAACAGATACGCGCGCCGACACACCAGCATGGACGCCGACTCTAACCAAGAGTACTGGGACTTTAGTCTCACAGAAATAGGATACTATGACGTACCAGCTAACATCGACTATGTTCTGAAGAAAACTGGTGAAGACAAATTAAGTGTGATCGGATATTCAGAGGGAACCACATCCATGTACCTTCTAGGAGCCACGCGGCCCGAGTACAACGATAAAGTTAAGATATTCATATCGTTGGCTCCAGTCTGTACCCTAAAAAACACAAAACCTTTGGCATCAATAGTAATACAGCTAGCACCATTGTTAAACGTCGCACTGGAAATGATCAACAGCAACGAATTAATGGGACAGAACTCTACGTTACGAGCCTTATTTACCGATGTATGCTCTCGGAAAGCTGGATACGAAGTGTGTTTGATTAATGGACTGTTCCTTCTGACTGGTGCTGATGCTAAGGAGATAGAGCCAGAGTTCTTCCCTGTGGTTGTAGGACACTTTCCGGCCGGGACCTCAAGGAAGAATATAAACCATTTAGTGCAGATAAGCTTAAGCGGGAAGTTTAGGGACTATGACTACGGAATGATGAAGAATATGGAAAAGTATAGGAGGTTTACTCCCCCGGAGTATGACTTGAGTAAAGTGACAATGAAGGTTGCATTGATTGCAGCTAAGAATGACAAGTTATCTACCATCAAGGATGTTGAGTGGCTAAGGGAACAGTTACCGAATGTGGTCGACTACACGGTCATGAAGAGTAATGTATTCAATCACGTAGATTACATTTGGGGCAGGACTGCGCACAAGACATTGTTTCCACATATATTCCGACTACTGAACAAGTACAATAAATGAAGTTTAGTGTTGTAAGACTACTGAAGTGGTGACATTGTGATGCCAAATACGAAAAGTGGTTTAGTGCGAACAAACTTTCATAAGTACCTAGTATTGATGTGAATGTGAATTGTTTGGATGGATTTTTGGACAGTTCAATTCAGGTGGGATAGTCACTAATTAAGTTATTTATATAAGTTGCCAAATATACGTTATTCTTACTTTTAAGAGATATTTATTTAATACTTGCCTATAGTCACTAAAGAAAATTTCATTTTATTTTCAATCTTAATATCCTATGAAGATTCACTAACTCTGCACAGATTAGTTCTTGGAACATAATTATTTATGTTACAGGTCCTACGTAAACTTATGTGTATGACTATATTGATTAATTTGAGGTAGGTAGGTAGGTCCCAGGTAGGTAGGAGAGATATATATGTATAGAGGTATAGGTAGGTATCTTCTGTAAATAAACTACTGTCTGGACAATAGATTGATAAATTTATTTTCATTTATTGAAACAAAAGATTTTATCAGATAAACTTCACTAATAGCCGTTTTATATAACCTATCTATCTGTAGATTTGCTCACTGAGATAGAATTTTGACAGTAGCTCCGGCGATTACCGCGTGCAAACAAACAAATATACAAAAAACTCTTCAGCTTTGTATAATAGGAATATAGAATATAAGATAATAAAATAAAAATAAGTAATAAATATA